CACCCAGGTGGAAGACTCACTTTATTACATACCCCCATGGGCAGCTTGCAAAAGGTACTTGATTAACTTTCATCACAATTAAACTCTCTACACCTAAAGGACACTGAGAATTGGTAGCTCATATAAAAGAGGTAGGAGATGAGCTTGTAATTGGCCTTAAATTAAGTGGTAAAAAGAGGAAAATGAAGACAAAGGCTTTAAAAAACATATCTAGTCAAAAGTAGGTTGGCTTTTTAGAAAGGCTGTATCCAACATGGAAAATATTATCCATCCATGGACTGTATTTTCTGCTACTAATCACTTTAATAGCAGCATGCTCCAGTTAAGTAAAAAGAGTGGTGGAGAAAGAGGACAAGCCACTTTAAAGTTCTGAACATATGGTCCTCAGAGCCAAATCATCATGGAAGCCACAAAGTAAATCTAACAAGGGACAAGCAGAATTAATTCAGAAGAAGAAAGGAGGGAAATCTTAAGCTGGTTACTAATGCTTCTAAACCCACTGTGGACATGTAGAGGCAGGGGTTGTCTCTTCTCTGCAGGTGTCTCCCTGATGCTCAGACAGTTCTGAATAGAAAAAGAGTTGCTCTGGATTTTCTACCTTGCAAGGTGACCTCTCTTTATCCCATTATTATCAAGCTCAACCAAAGAGATCATATTTTTGACAAGATAGAAAAACACCCCTACTACCTGTCTTACACATATGCAACATTAATAATTTTCTTGGCACTAATATTTAGGGGGGCTAATCACATCCTCCCATTCTGAGCTTCTTGGAAACTATTTACTACCAAAGTAGAAAACTGATGGAACATGGAGTTGATCCAACATGGCAACTCTTTGGATTCTTAGTACCAAAATCATTAGCACTAATGCTATTATGTACACAGATTAATACTCCACCATCTGAAGACAATTTCAAGAAATATGAGCATATACAGTAAGATATTGATTTCAAAGTAGAACATATGGTCACCAAGTTGGCCATCATAAGGAAACTTCTTGCTCATCATTTGTGGTCTTACAGTCAGAACTTTTAATCATTTGAAGAGTAACAATTCAAGTAGAAAATGTGCTGAGAGTTCTCAAAATAGCAAGAATAAAAGAGGGGATTCAATATTGTGTATAACAATTTCACTTTTTTGAATAAATTTAGCAGCCAAATGTACTACATTGTACATTACTCAAACTTTCTGAAGTTAAGTCAGTCTTTGCTGATCCTACTCACCACCTATGGAATGAGGGAACTTGAGCCTAGACTTCAAACAACCACAGTTGAGGTGAAAGTTTGACACATGACAATAGTTTGACTGTAACCTGTTAATGATAGCTGAAGGTGAAGGGGCAGGTAAAATTAGATCCTTTTCTCTTCACTCATATAATTTGAAGATTATGGAATGTGAATTTTAAAGGTCAGAATAAATTGCTAATTAAGTTGAGGTATTTGAAATCAGCAAATAAAAATGCAGTTCAGAACAGCGACTAAGGAGTAATTAATCATATAGGTGAAAATGACAGAGAAGTAGAGCAAGCAGTAAAATTATTTTTTAGCTAGTTGTTATAGAGCCTTCATATGCCATTACTAAGAACTATTAGACATTAATTCCTTTCTCTTTAGGCTATATCTTAAAAACACACATACACAACATCAACATCATTATAGGAAGACACAAATCAAGGCAAAATCAAGGCAGATACCTCTCTTGAAATAGATATGAAATAGATATGACACTTCCCTCTATCTTTTACTCAACATGTGAAGGAATTAAGGGTTAGATGGTCATAGGCATAACCTTAAACCCACTCTAATTGATTTCAAATATAAATCACAGCCAATTTTTGGCATTTTAACTGTTATAATGCAAATTTATACACTCTTTAAAACTAGCCTTGACCCCCAACAGACACAGCTTTGAGGATACCCGCTTTAACATCTGCTTAAGAAAACATTTTGCCTCCAGGTGCTTTTTCTTTCCTTAGAAGCTACACTTGGGTTTGATGCTCTCAATCCATGCTGCAATGGTCAGGATTTCATTTGGCATTAAGATATTTGCATATTAAACTTAAAGCAAATCGATCAACATGGATAATACAATGAAATACCCAGAGAGTTCATTTGACATGCATATCTTCAACTAGAAAACAAAGACAGCATTTATATAGAGATTTATATTTTTAAGCACTTGACATTTATTACTTAGCTCATCCACACCACATACCTATGAGGTAGTTTAGCATGACTTTAGTAAGAATAAGTTAGGTAAGAAGCAGAAAAAGAAGAGATCTGTTCCCACAAAAGAACAACAATTCTGCTCACAAAAGAACAACAATCAAATTTTTTGTACAAGCTGGTCAAACAAGCAATGCATATTTAGCATGGATGGAATGTAGAGAGGGTGGTTATTTTATTACCTGACAGTTTAGAAATGTTATTTCCTCATTGGAGTTCTAATATGCTGTGCTCACAGTAACCTGTCAAAAATACCTCACTTAACTGATCAACTTTGAAGGAGGGTGCCCTCCCCCAGCTCCCAGGGCTCAAATTTCCCTGTGGGAGTATTCACATTTTTCATCTATTTCATATTTTTCTTCTCTTAGTCTGATTGGTCTAGTAAAGTCACTTTAATAGGAAGGTATAAAGACTCTTGCAGTTCCAATTTATGTTTATATGTCATCTAAGAGGCAGACGAAAAAACAAATCTTATTGGTCTTTGTCGTCAAGCAATTGCAGATGAGGGTTTTATTGCCACTTTTATCAGCAGGAGGGATCACTGCAGTCCTCTCCACTTAGCAGATTGCTTTATGATCACATTTATTAGCGCACTTGGCTGTGAAGACTACATATAAGGAAAACTCATTAATTTGGGTTTCACAACCATGGCCTGTGTGGCCACTGGCACTAGTGCTAACCTGAAGCTCACCTCTGTACTTGAAGGAAAACTCGTTAGAAAGTAAGTGAATTGCATGACCAGGACTAAAGGGGTATTTTATCTCTATAAGAAGACCTAGACTATTTCAACCACTTAGCAAGTGTTTCTTTAAACACAAAAATTTTACTCTACTATAGGGATGCCATTAGGCTTGTGTGTGAGGATAATTTTGAATCATTTCTCCCTCACTGGAGCAACACTTCGAATGGGCAGTAGTGGGTCAGTTTAGTTGGCGTTCTTACATGTACTCTGGAAGTTTAAATATTGAACATCGGGTTCACCTCTAGTTCTCCCGCACGGAGGTTTTACAGGAAATTCTTGGACCTGTCTTCGTCTCTCCCGGAATCTCTGCTGTAACCCGGCGGCCCTGCCAGAGCCGCTCCACAAGGTCAGGTCTGCAAGGCTCTTCCTCTCTCTGCGCCAGACTTCATTTGTCTCTGAAAATATTTACCTCTCACTCCTGTTCGTTCATAGTGAAAGTGGAATGCAAGACACGGCCTAATGAAACAAATACAACCACACCAAAAAGATAAAAGAACAATAATGACAACAAACAGCTAGCTTCCCAAGCAGGGGTGTTTCCATTTAAGACGTCCCAAAATATAAATAATATTCATAGGCTCTTCCTCCTTAAAGCTGAATACGTCACCTCCCTGGTTCAATGGAATGGTAACTTCCCTTCTCTCCACAGGCAAAAATAAGGAAAGAGACTTGAAAACAAACAAAGCCTCGTCTCTGGCAGGGTATTCACTTTCACTTGACAGGTTGCCAAGGAGCAATGGCACTTAGATGAGGGATTCTGAAATAATCAGATTATTATATCTGGAAGCTGATCTATCAAGGTTGGCAGAGACTCTCTGTAAAGCAAACGAGGTCTATGTTCATAGACTCGTCTGTACTATGTTGGGTTATTAAAAACAAAAACACCTGAGGGCATAAGCTCACTCACTAAACACAAAGAGAAACAAAGACTTTTTTTCTTTTTTTTACTAGGACAGTTGCGTATGTTACAGCAGAATTGACAAATAAAGCCTCATTTTACACATTTGAACAAAAGTCACCATAGGAGGTTTGCAGTTCGGTTGTGTGCTTTCCAAAACAGCAAAATAGTTTGTTCCCCATCACACCTTCCTTCCTTCCAACAGGACAGCTGTGGTTGGGGTGGCTGCTCCTTCTGTAGTCATGGACACTGGCCACCTTGGTCCCTCCTGAGTGGGCCCTCCTCCAGGAAATGGTGCCAAATCTCAAACACCTTAATAACAACACTGTGCATTTCTAAGTCATTTCATTTATTGCTCACTGAGTTGTAACCACCTTGGCTCTCTGTGGAAAAACTATAGGCGACAGAAAACCCTGACACCAGCAGATCACTTGCCTGTGGTCACAACATACAAAGGACAGCCCCAGCCAGAACATTGAGAAGCATCATGAGTAGAAGCTAAATGCCTGGCTTTGCAGCCAGCCTGCAGGTCACCGAATCCAGTCTGATGGAGATGGAACCTAGAGAAAGAGCCTTATGATTTACACTCAGAGACACTCTGTTCCCCATCAGAGTAACAGGGTTCTAGTCTGCCCTACTGGCCACTGGTGTTTTTCCCAAAGTGATTGAATCTTGGCTCAGAGAGAGCACTTCAGTGAGAAACAGAGGAATAGGGGACCTCATCATACCCAAGGCTGTCATTCTTCAGAATTCACCCACTTATTTCCAAATCACAGTACCCCACATCGAAGCCCTTAAGTCAGGCCAACTTCATAAGAATTATTCATTTACTTCTCTCCTGTTCTGGGATTTATAATTCTTCCTTTGGATGCCTTTGGGAAAACATTTCATCAAGGTCAACTGCTGTGAAGACATTTTTGCCTAAGAGGATCATCATGCAGGCAAACTAATTCTTTTCCTAAGCTATTATTTTGGCAGCTTGCAAAGAGGATTTGGCTTAACCTTGAGAAGCTGTTTTTTGAATGATCAGAAAACAGAGATGAGGGTTTTTCTTTTATTTGCCTTCTTCATTCTCGCTGTTCAGATGGCAAGGCTGACTCACATTTTGTAAGGTGAGATGAGAAGGACCAGTGAGTGATTCTTTCCCATTTAGGGCATGTTGCCACAGTCATGTTCCACATGATGAAAAAATAGTGTTTCTTTCTTGATAGAGGTGCTTTACATAACAATCATCCAGGATTTAATAGAATAATTTTATATGTTAAAGAAATCTAGAATAAACTGGAGATTTAGATTTTTCCATTGTCTTTAAGTTTAAATGATGCTTTCACTGTTTGGTATAGGAGTATAATTTAGAACATGTGCTAAATATATTATCAGAAGAGAATTTAAAAATCCATCCAAACATCACAACTTACCACAAAATTAAAAAAAAAAACAAGAAGAAGAAATAAATAAAGCTCATTTACTTTCCAAAACTAAGATTGGTCACATGTTAATCTGTGAATCCTCGTAAAAATGTTCATTGTTCAAGAAAGATTTCTCCTCTGGTGGTTGATAAGTAATTCTCCATGGCAGAGAAATCCTGATATTTTTTTTCTCATCTTGATTGATGCTTTCACTACTTATTCTTCAGGCTATAAGACAGAAGAGAACATAGTCTTACTTTCTTTCTTAATTACATATTTCAATCTTTCTCTCTCTCTTCCTCTCTCTCTCTCCCTCCCTCCTTCTCTCCCTCCCTCCCTTTCTATCCCCCACCCTACATCACTTTATCCATCAAATTAAAATAAAGCTGAATTTATATAAATCTTTTAAGTTCTAAATAATCTGTGTATATAATAACTCAATTACTAATGTCATCTCCGTGTATGTAGAAGAAAATATATATCTTTGTAATGTCAATCCAGACACTAAATTCATTCTGAAAGTTGTTAAAATGAAAATAATAAATTAAGTTTTATTTATGGCATATTGTATATACCCATCTGTAAATTGCAGGTGTCACTATTTATAGAAACCTCTTGTTGGGAGGGGAGAACAAGTTGGTAGCATTTAGATTTCAAATTATTATAAACTTCATTCTCTATGCATCAAGAATTTTATCTGTTAGGTAAATAGAAAAATAGTTTCTGGTGTTATTGTCAAGAAGTATTGATTTAAATTAAATAGATGACTAATTTTTAAAGGTTTTTTAGTTTTGTTTTGCTTTATGGTAAACAGATACTACCATTGATTGCATGCCTACTATATGTCAAGAATTTTCCATTTAATTTACATGTTAATTTAATCCCCACACCACGTTTTATGTGGATATTATTTCTTCCCATTTTAAAGGTGAAACAGTGAGACTTAAACTGACTATGTTAATGGCACAAGGTCATAGGGCTATTAAGGGATAAGAGTTGAACTCTGGAAAGATCAGAATTAGATCAGTCCTCTGGCTGCATCAAGACTGCCAAACAGTATACTGTATTAACCCTAAAGCGATATTATGGGGTGGGGGGGGATGCAAATGTGCTAGAGCAGGTCAGAATCCTTGTATAGACCTGCCTTCCCTTATCACTAAGATCTAAATATCTTAGTGGAAAGCTGATAAATGAAAAATTCACAAGTGACAAAGGAAAATTCTATCACTAACCTGGAAGCACACAGCATATCTTGAAATGTTATTTTCCAAAACATAAAAAAACACACATGCTAACTAGAGTAGGTCTTAATAAAATATTCTTAAGAGACAAATAAGAATTTGGTAATTGTTGGTATAATGTAGACCAAAAGAAAACAGAGACATAATTTTTTTTAAATAGCTTTGAAATTTTGCCTTGGAATGACCCTAGTAATCACAGCTACTTTTACATAGTTATACAACAAAACTTCCTATTTTAGACTCTCATATTCAGTTCCTGCTACCATGACCTATGAAAATTCTACAGTTGTTGCCACATGAATTCATGCGACATAAAGTTAGGAAGTTCTAACTAGACAAGTATGACCTCATTTTTATAACCTGCAAAGAAAAATATTTTTCAAATTAAAGTGAGTTTTGAAGTGCAGTATCCCCATGTAATAATAAGACCAACACATCCATGGCTGAGAAGTCTTCAGTCATGATGACATCTTTAGAGGAAACCAGATGAGAGTTGTTTATTTAACTTCCAGTAAAAGTGTTATATTAAGAACTTAATTTCATAATGAGAAAGAATATCACACCCTTCCTTTTTATGGTCAATAAAACTATTCAGATCCTTTCTGAACACATTGAAGTAATGACAAATTAAAATGTTTTCAATTTCAAGTAGCTTTTATAATTATTCATCCATTTCTGATATTGCTGGAAAGGCTCCTGCATATTATAGTTTGCATCCTATTTGATACAAAAGAACATGGAAAATTTTATTGCTATTAATAAAATGGAGCCATCCAATCCAAGAAGAAAATTCTTTTTCATCTGAAAGATAAGCTGCATAATTCATGTATTTTCAGTAATTTCTTTAAATTAGAAAATTGAAGAAAGGTTTAGGGAAAAAAAGAATTTATTACATAGTTTCCATCTGTGGTGAAAATAGTCTTTGTTTTCAGAGAGTTTTAAATTTGATTTGAGTTGAAGAGATAATTTCCATTTAATTGTACACATACCACTTATAGAGCTCACTTTATTTTCTTTTTCCTTTTTTAGCTTCATTTTTATTGTTGACATTATTACAGATGTCCCCATTTCCCCCTCCTTTGCCCAATTCCACCAAGCCTCTAACTCCCCCTTATTTTCAACATATATCAGGAAAACATACCCTCTGTTTCACTTAAAAAAAAAAGTAACAAAATTATGAGGGACTTTTCTCGGGGTCTTGAAATGCAGTGAGAAAACCCTGGAATAATTTGGATGGGAACCTCCACCTTCCAAAAGAAGTTTCTATGTCAGCAAATTGTGATAAGTTTCCATGTCTAATTTCTGTGAGCTCTAGCCCATAAGGGCACCTGCCAGACAGAGGGATGTGATGGCCTTGCAGGACATGTATTGCATTCCAGGATCCCAACCCAAATGAGAATCACAATTGCATGACCAGTTAAAGAAAAAAGCTTCTCTTTTTACTAGTCACTTCTTCCCCATCTGACTTAGAAGATTCAGAGAGAGGAGATGCTATAAACTGGGTATCAGATAGTAGTCTTGTGTAGACTGGTAAGAACTTCTTAATACCTAAAAGAACTGTTAAATACTACAATTAAACTTTTCTCACCATTAAAAATTACCAGATATTTTTTAAAAAGTGGAGGGATTAAGAAGTACAAATTTGTATTAAAAAATAGTTTGGGGAATGTAAAAGACAGCATAGGGAATATAGTCAATAATCTATACTAATAATAGAGGAATATGCAAATTGTCCAAGACGCCATCATGTAACAACCAATCAGGATGGGGGCGGGGCTGCAGTGAAGACCTCTCAGCACACCTGCGCCGGGGTCTCAGCACGTCTGCATGCAGAGAGGAAGGGAGAGCAGATAGGTAGTTAGGGGCATCAGGCAGGCAGGCAGGTGAGCGGTTAGGAGCCAGTAGTTTTGGATTGCAAGAGGGATCCCAGATTGGAAAGGATGCAGGCCAGGCTGAGGGATCCACCACCCCCACCCCCCGCCCATACACAAATTTTGTGCACCAGGCCTCTATATTGTAATAACTATGTATGGTGCAATGTGGGCACTAGACTTACTGGGGGATCACTTCATAAATTATATAAATGTCTGACCATTATGCTATACTCATTAAACTAATCCTATATAATAATAGAGGAATATGCAAATTATCCTGGATGCCCTCACGGGTAATGACCAGCAAGAGCAGGTGGGCATGGCTGCGTGCTGCACAAGGCTGGTGGATGTGAGGCTGCGTCAAATAAAATAAAATGCGTTCACATGCCCTAAAGCACAAAATCCCAGCAGATAACTCAATGCAGGTTATTGTGTAATCTCAATGATTACACAATAAATCACAATGATTACACAATATTGATTACACAATAAACTTATTTCCACCGAACAAATATAACATCTTCATTTAAAGATGACCCAGTAAGGCTGCTGAGGCTTTCATCTGTCCCTTTCAACACTGAAGATGACAGGGTTCAAGGAGGAAGGGCTCCAGTTTTGTTTTCTCAGCACCCAGCTAGGAGGCCTCCCTGGGGCTGCTCTTCCCTCCAAGCCCTGCACAGGATGGGCGCTCCACGCTGGCCCGGGAGCCCCGAAGGGAGGCTGAGCGAAGTGCTTTCCCTCTGGGACCCCACTCTCCCTGGGAACCCGGAAATCTGCCTCCCGGAGTGACTGCACAGCAGCCAGGCCTGGCAAGCCACAGAGGGGACAACCTACCCATGCGGATGTGTACGCTGGTGGAGGCCACGCAGCTGCCATAGTTGAAGTCGTCCTCGATGGAGGACCGTGGTTAGTGGGAATTGGAGTCGGCCATGTCTGCAATGGAACCCCAGCTCCCCGCCAAATGACTAGAGCACACGGACCTCAATGGTCTCCAGTCACTTCCCGAGCAGCAGTCAGACCCGACCCGGGAGCCAACCCGAAACTTAAGTAGGTGCCCTAATAGAATGGAACCCAAACCTGTGCTGTGACAGAGGAGCTCTGGCCCAGAGCAGGGGCCAGGGCATGCCAGAGGGGTTTTGTTGAGGGGCCCTGACAGGCAACCCGCAGCACAGTGGGTTAGAACCTCCTCCTGATACAGCAAGGTTGCAGGTTGGGTCCCTGGTCAGGGCACAGACAAGAAGCAACCAAAGAGAGCATAATAAGTGGAACAATACACTGCTGTTTCTCTCGCTCCCTTTCTCTCTCTAAAATAATCAATCAATAAAAATTAAAATAAACCCTCTGGCTTGCAGAGTTGCTAAAACAGTTAGAAAGCAAAGTCCCATCCTTTCCCATTCATTCAGCAAATATTTCATATGCTTCTTCAGTAATCACACTGGGGATGGGTGTTTGTTTGTTTGTTTTGGTTAATCCTCACCTGAGGACATTTTTGCATTGATTTTTTTATTTTATTTTTTTTACAGAGAGTGGAAGGGAGGGAGAAAGACAGAAACTAATGTGAGAGACATCAATTGGTTGCCTCTTGCTGAATCCCCAACCAGGGCCCTGGATTGAGCCTGCAACCCAGTTACACGCCCTTGATTGGAATCCAACCTGGTACCCTTCATTTTGCCTGCAGAAACACTATCTACTGAACCAAACCAGCATTTATTTTTCTTTTTAAGTCCTCTTCTAAGGATATGTTTTTTCATTGATTCTAGAGAGAGAGGAAGGGAGAGGGAAAGAGAAAAAGGAACACCGATCAGTTGCCCAAGCAATCCAACAGAGATGGAACCCACAACCTGTGTATGTGCCCTCACCTGGAATTGAACCCATGACCCTTTGGTGCATGGGAGGACACTCTAACTACTGATTCACACTGACCAGGGCCTAGAGGTACATTAAAAATTTTTTTTTGCAGATCTGCCCTCGCCAGGTGGCTCAATTGGTTGGAGTCTCAACCTGTACACCAAAGGATTTCCTGTTGGATTCTAGGTTAGGGCACATACTTAGGTTTAGGTTAGATCCCGGTGGGTCAGCAGGTGCAGAGGCAGCTTACTGGTATTTCTCTGTC